CCACCATCTACTCCTCCGGGTGTCCTACATAGCAGCTCTCTGCTCCACACAGAGGCTGTGGTAGCTCGGTGGACTGTGGTTGCGTCAGGAAGGACAACCGGCGTAAAAAATAATCGCCAAGTCTTTGTGCAGCTTAGTTGGCTGTGGAGACCCCTGAAGAAGAGAGCAGCTGAAAGAGGAAAAAAAAATTAAAGCGTACACAGTGGCAACCTGCTCTTCTGGTGCTCAATGATGACGACCATTTTTTAAAGCTGATTCCTCTTTACTGACTGATGCAGAAAATTACCAGCAGGTGGAATCATTTCACCAAACTGAAAAGATCATGTCTGGTTTTCCCTAAAGCTAAATCCACAAAGAATTTAAGTTACTTAAAACTTTTTGCTGATTGTTAAGAGTTTATGACAAAAAGCCTACCATGACTAACATAATCTGCATACATATTTTTACGTGTTTTATGTGTAGATTGTGCATCAGGTGCATTGAATAACCTCACATTTCTGTATATTCTACTCATTTGTCCCAAATTAACATGAAGGGTCAGTTTGTAACATTTTGTTTTAAGCTTCACTGAAGGTACAAACAGCTAAAATACACACAGTTCAAAGCAGACGTGACTTGATTTTTTGCTCATTCAAGGAGAAACATTTTATAATTTTAAGAGTAAAGATCCAGGCAAGAAAGACACAAAGAAAATACTGAAGATTGATGGATTTATTCATTTTCTCAGCAGTCGTTACTGCAGTGCATAGTCTCAAGTGGAGCAATAAAACTGGTTTAAAAAAAAATCACATAGGTCCAAATATTATTTAAGTGTGTGAAAATAAAGTTGAGCACGTTTTAGAAAATAATTTATGCACAAGGCACAACTCATCAGTAAGGATTTTATCTGGATTTCCAAATGTGAAGCAGAGACACCTCTGACTGATAATAAAACAGAAAAATAAACCAATGCTAAAAATGTTCTCAGATTGAGACGCCATGGAGTCAGATAGTTTACAGTCCGTGGTATAGTTGGCAGTCAACAAGAAATAACATGAAAAGCTGCAGAAAGTGACAGAACTGACAATTGGTACTTTTTGTTTTTGGCTTAATTTTGAAACACAGGATTTTGTTCTTTTGTAAACAGCCTATAAAAGAATTGATCTTTGCAGAAAACAAGGACAATTAACTTTCATCTTTACAAAGTGTCCCTGCTTCTTTTTTTTTTTTTTTTTTTTTGTCACTCACACATCCTACTCTGCAGCTCTGCCCAGTTTCAATATGTTTTAGTGCTTCTGGGGCTGCAGAAGAGAATATGTCAGGATTAAGATTAGAACCAGTGAAGAGGGCTTGTTTATGTTTTTGATTTATTTCTTTGTATCTAGATGTGCAACTTTCAACTAAATCACAACTTTGTCTGAGACGAGCTGTTTGTAGAACTTAATCTCTTGAGTGTGTCAGTGAAGCCCCACAGCATGGAGACATACAACACTTCTTTTGATAACATGAATTTAAAACATAAGCAGCAGGAAGTTACCAATGTCAACATTTTTATCATTTTCTAAAAAATATATAAAAATCAGTCAGATCAGATCTGTTTTTTACAAACAGGTAAAAAATGAAATTAAAAACATTATTGGAGAACAATTTTTAATTTGAATAACGTGCTACCTGCAACAAGAACATAAGACCTGTAAAACACATTAATAACTTTTGTGATGGGCTACTTTTTGTCCATGCTCAGTTCAGTCAAAAATATACTTCATATCATTTTCTAATAGCAACAGTAACAATTTTCTAAAATTTAGTGTAAATGTAAATTTTGTTCTGAAATGGTAAAAGTAAGGTGCTCAACTCCAATCCCCCTGATCAAAAAGAATGTTCAATTTATTTCTTGCCTTTAAAAATATATTTTTTTAAATTAGAAAGCCCTTGAAAAAAGCAAGCAGAATGATTTAGTGAAAAAGAAACACGTTCTTATGTCGTATAAAGTCAAACATGAACGATAATGTCAGCTTTAAGGAAGTTCAAATGGCTTTGGCAGATGTTAGACTGTTGATATTTCAGAACAATAAAAGTGTCACAGCAGTAAAGCCAAGCCTAAAATCATATCAGGTGAGAACATCGCTCTTTTTTCTCATTACAAACAGATCTGATAGATGCTGAGAAACTGAAAGATGACAGCAGGGAAGAAACGTAGAGGCAGCTCAATGTTGCTCCTAAAATAGATTTTGCTTTCATTTTCTTGCACATCTATTTTACTTTTAATCTCAGACACAACACACGATCAGCACTGTACAGCTGAGTGAGCGAAGGGGAAATACAGCATGAATATAAAGAAGAGGAACATGCTCTGGAGGAAGTGATAAGCTTTTGGCGTCATCAGCTGCAGCCATTTTGTGTATGGCTGGTGGTTTACATCCATCCCTACATGTGAGGGGCTCGGCACGGGGACGTACCCTCCTGAGAGCTGCTGAGGCTTCGGCTGCTCCAGTTCAGCTAACAACAGACAGATTTCACAATATTTAAAAGGATATTTTAGTCTCAAATGATTCAGGGTCTTCTTTGCTTTAGACCTAGCAAACCACACCTGCATTGAATGTGTTGAGGGGTCCAGGGTGCACCAAGACCCTTTTTGCTGTGGAGAATAGACATCTGGCAAAGGGTCTTTGGTGGGCACCAGCATTCTCTGATGAATTATTAAAATGTTAAATGGTTCAATTGACAAGTCAAGCAATAAATACAAGTTGATTTCATGTTTGTGACTAACAACTCACCAGTCCAGAAACATAAGTAGATACAGTCACTGGCTGCTTCTTGGTGCCCACAAAAACCTTTCAGCAGACAAAAAATAATTTTCCTCAGAGATAAATAAAGTATTCATTCAGTCATTCATTCATTCAATCAAAAACATATACAACATACCAACAAATAAAGCTCCTGTTAGAATCAGCATTTATGTTGAACCAGGGAGCCGTAAAATGAGTGCAGCAGTGTCATCAGCTTATTGAGATGGTTGTTGGTAAAAATGCAGCGAATGACAAACTTACAATGTTCCTCTCATCCACACCAAGACAGCGGAGCAGAGAAGTGTTCGCATGAGAACCCCCCCACTGAAACTGGAGGCCAAGTGAACGGTACACATCCTGATGTGGCCTCAACATCAACTGCTGAATCCTAGAAGTTGAGGGAAAA